GTCAAAGTCTTGCCAATCAATTTCGTCTAGCTCCTTCTCGAGGCTAGTGATTTCATCTTGCAGATCGAGCAAAACACGCGAGTGCAAGTAGCTGAAGGATCGATACAATGCGAAGTTTGTCTCGCTCGACTGAAACGCGGCAAGCCTTGGAAACCCTTCAGGCGTTTCTTCCACTGATTTCGATGAGTCTCGTGAATGTCAACTGATCGAAGAGTCCTTACGCTTTCGGGTCCTGTTCTCAGTCACATACTCAGGCTCTGGCTCGGGGCGGAAAGAGTCTGTCACCCGACTCAGAAGCGTAGGGCGTTTCTTCTCGCTCTCTGGCAAAGCGTCAGCGACCTATTTCGTGCGATGGCTTGCTGCTTCATCATAATTTGATCTGCTTCTTCCCGCCATATCATGCACACGAGGGCTGACGCGGAACACTAGGCCCCAGGTGTGACACCAATATTGGAATCGAGCATCTCTGACTCTGAATGGGACGACTGGAATAGTTTGGGGGCCAAAGCGGGTTTGGGGGCCACGTACGAGGCTGTGCATTTTCGACGTCGAACGAGTTCGTTCGCATTGACGGTTGTATCGTAGAACGGCCATCTTCGGCGACCTCTACGAAGCCATCTCCGGTTAAAGTCGCGTCTGTATTAGTGGGAGAAACGGGAGGTTGGGGGATCTTCTCGTCGGTGAAGGTATCCCCGGTCATCGTACGGGGAGGGGCCATGATGAGGCAAGAAGTCAAGCGCGGCCCGCACACAAGCGAAGGAACAGCAAAAGGACGAGAAGATTCGCGCACAGCCCAAACAAATTGCTCAAATTGACATTGGAAGTTATGTGTGGCTCAAAAAACATGTGGCGGACGAGCAGTGTATGTAGTGTGCGCGATGCCCTGATGTGAGGCCAGATGAGGGGCCATGGTCCCCTTCCGTATAGCTCAGCCCCAACGCCCTGAGGGCGCGCCTTGCACAATTGGCTGCATGCATGTCCATCGCAGCTGCCTGTGACTTTCCGGTGAGCTCAGCCACAGATGATCATGCGTGTCGCACTGCTCAGGCCCCGGCTTTCAATTCCTTCTCGCGCACCCAGCCGCCCTCGATTCTATTGGTATGAAAGTTCCGGACCTGATACTCGAACCAGCCCTGAGAAGTGTACTTGTTGGCGCAAATTGTGTAGGTGACCTTTGTTCTTGCACCGTTGACTATGACGGGCTTGTGGACGAGATCACCTTTTTTGAAGCGCGCGGTTGCCTGGCCTCTCGTCACGAAGTGTTCCTGGGTCCACCAAGGAACTGGCTTACCTGAGTAGGATTTGGGTTTACAGCTACGCCCGACTTTGTCTCGGGAACGCCGTCCTCTAGTGGTGGGTGTAGGTACTCGTGCTGTGGCTAATTGTCAGCCTTGTGCGGCGAAGAAACCAAGACTGCGCGACTCACCTCTGCGACCTGAGCAGGCTGCTCTTCGAGGGCGTTGGAAGCCATGTTTAGTCGAGGTGAGGAATGGGGCAGGATAGCCTTGTGGATGATGCCCTGGAGGGCGAGGAAACTTGTGCTGTTATACTGGCCCTTGTTGCTGGCCTCTCAAAAGTCGACAAGCGGCAGCCCCAGGCAACACAGGTTCGTGACCGGTATGGATTACAGGTGGGGGCTCAAACGGCTGCACAGCCGCGGATCAGAGGCGTTTGCTGCACGTCTTCTGCGACACCACAGCAGAGCCCGTTTCGCTGGGCTGGACTATTGCTGCGTGAGCCGTCAGCCATGTTGCCGCGGTAGCCTGCCATTGTCCATAAAGAGCAGGCATGGTGCTGCAAACAATCTGGTGATGGCGCGTGAAGGATGCATGGTGGAGGCTCAGCTTTAGACCCCAAAGACGTTGGGGTTGAAGCCTGAAGTTCGCTCATTGGTGGGGTCCGCCTGCGCCTGCTGGTCTCCGCACTCTCTGAGCCGTGTTGCAGAAGGCACACGATTGGGGGCCAAAGCCTGCCATGAACGCTTCCATTCATCATGGCGGGCACCTGCGAACTCTCCCAGCCCCGCAGCTCTGCCATTCTTCTACCCAATGGCTCTTTCTTTGACCTCGACGACGCGTGGAGGCGACGCAGCAACCAACGACACGGCTGCCCTCATCACAGACACGCTTGCCGGTAAGGTGTTGCACGCCCAAGCCGATCTGCGAATCCAGTCTTGCGAGGACATTTCGAAACGCGACGCCCCCGCCCCGCAGAAGAAGCCGGCTCTTGTCGAGAGCGGGCCAGGCAAGAAGGAGGTAGACTATGCAACGAGCACAGAGTCGCAGGCGAATTGGTGGGCCGAGGCGATTGCGAAGAACATGGACCTGCCAGACGGATACTCCAAGGTTGCCGTCCTCTTGATCAAATGGGCCGACGAACTAGACGAGCTCCGAACGGGGCAAGAGGTTCGTGAACAGGGAAGCCGCCTTGACATGGCCTAACAAGTGCCCAGGCCAAGGAACTCGAGTGCCTTTTCCGCGAGCGCTTCCACTACCACACCAATATCGTCGAATTAAACGTTCGCAGGAAGGCGCAGTTCCAGCTCGACAACCACATTTCTCAATTCATTCTCGAGAACGACGGACAGCACAACCTGCTCATCGTGTACTACACCGGCCATGGCATCTTTCGAGACGACAAGCAGCTTCTCGAGCTTACCGGAAGTCTTGATCCTTCTCGCGACAGGGGCTTGGACAGAGAGGCGCGCGTCCAATGGAACAAGGCCGAAGAGCAGCTCCGGCATGCAGATGTAGACGCCGACGTCTTGACAATCCTAGATACTTGCTACTCTAGCAACCTCGCCAAGTCCAGCAGGGAAGAGGAGAAGAAGTTTGAGCTATTGAGCGCCTGCTCCATAGACCAGACAACGGCAGCACCGGGGCCAAACTCCTATACGCGTGCTCTCATTGAGGCTCTCGAGGGCTTCCTTCAAGAGGATAATGGGCGCCCAATATCGACTTTCAGCTTGATGAGCCGCATCAATCAGGACCAGAGACGCGTAGATACGCCCTCACAACTTTGGGGACGTAGCAAAAGCCCTCAACAGAACCAAGAACACATCTTCCTGAGGCCTTTTACGCCTGAACATGTCGACTCGTTGCACCGAATCCGACGAAGGCCCAAAGGTCATCTGACGCTGCAGTTCTCTCTCCGTGATGCATCCCTAAACCATGAGCAGATAGATTTCATGGTCAAGCACCTTACCAAGGCCCTCAACCACAAAAAGCTCATTGGTCTGGAAAGGATCGACTGGGTTGACATGAAGCCGGCACCGCTTCCACATGACTTTGGGCGTTTGGCCTATGTTATGCGTGTAGTAACGCAGTGGAAGAAGCTTGTGGCTACGGCCAGTGAGAAGAAACTGTCGCAGAACAGTGTGGACAACGTTGCCCTTCCGCATCCTGCGCCAGATGACTCAACGGAAGAATCGCAGAAGCGTACGCTCGAGGACGCAGACGAGCCACGACATGCAAAACGACCTTATCTAGGCAGTTCGCATCCCCCCTCGCCGCCAGTGTCAGAATCTTCCCGCATTGATCCGGATCTTTGAAGCCTTTTTCTCTTTTCTTCTTTCTTTCGTTGACCCTTCTCCTTCTGCTCATCTCATCAGGATGCTCGCACGGATTTTAGAATACCCCCAGTCTTGCGCTACAAAGCATATGCCAGCATTCAATATTTAATCGTCGCATCGAATGTCTTTCTTTCCATTTTTTTGGCCACTGATCCTTGTACCAGTGTTGTTATCTCCGCGTGCGCGCTCACGCGGCTGAGGTGGTGCCACTTTCCCGATCTCACCACCATCATCACATTAGCTTATTCAATACGATCCAATAACGCCGCATGCGCAGCATGCTTTGCAAAGTCACCTTGTACTTCCAGGGGTCTCTTATCGATGCTACGTGATTGCGAGACCGACACGTTCGAAATATTGGCCGCTTTCTAGTATAAAGCCTTGACCTGGCGCATGCACCCATACTTACTTCAAAGCATCACAGCAAAACATCAACACTCATATCTACATTACACACACACAACAAGACATCAATCTCAAGGGCACCTCGAGTTTCAAGCAACAGACATCAAATCATGACCGCTACCACAATCATCGCAGCTGTTGCGACAAATCAACACGACCACACCGTCGGTCATTGCCGCGCACAACGGCAAGCACTCTACTCGTGCAGCGAGCATTGCGAAGGTGCACCAGCACAGCCTCTTTCAAAACCGATCGTCTCGACAGCTCAGCGTGGTGAAGATGATTGGACGGAAAGCCAAGAAGAGCTCGGTCGCTGGGGCATGCAAGCCATCGAGGCGACGAAAGCTGATACGAGTCAAGCGACAATCCCGAATGAGATTCAAGGCGGAGGACTGAAGTTTGAGGACGTTGTGAGATTTTGGCAGTAACTCGGGAGGAGCGACACTTGCGACGTATCAAGGAAGGTCGTAGTACCGGCATCGCAAAGTAGCCAATTTTGGGAAGCAGGCATCTGGCGTTAGAAAGGGGAATCGTATACCGAAGAAGATTCAATTCGTGACACGCAGATGGCGCATGTGTAGAATAATAAACATCAATTACGCTATGTCTATGTATATAATACTCAAGCATCAGGCAAACTCATATGCAGCGCAGTAGGACGTTGTTGCACCGCACGCGACCAAGTAGGTGCACAGAGTCGGCCATGTGCGCCATGAAGATACAATTGCAGAGTACGAAAGCACGTTCCTGAACAAGCGCAAAGATACACTACACGTTATCCAGGGACACACGCCCAGAGTATCTGTATGCCCGCTCGCCAAGCGAGAGATAGGTACAATAGCGGGGTCAAGAATTGTTGATGCGCGGGTCTGCCCCACCACCAACAACAGAATCTGCATCCCCACCTACCATTGAAGCGACAGGCCTGCAACAGCCACCTCACGTCAGGCAGGATTTGTTGAGAATAACATCATGACATATTGTTTGCAAATGATCAGCTTTCCATCAATCAGCAAAGATTCAAGGTGCGGTGCCAGAGTGGTTAATGGGTATGACTCGAATCTTGTAGATATCATATGTCTTCGGACGCAGGAGTTCGAATCTCCTCCGCATCGTTTCTTTTTGCCATTGTTTTTGTTGTGTGATTCGCTAATGGAGAGTGTTACTTTGGTGGCGCGATACACGAATGCTGAATGTTCTCGTGCTGTTCTGATTTGGATTTTTTTCCATCAGCTGGCTTTGGAGCTTGGGCAACGAATAGTGGTGCTGTTTTTTTTTTCTTCTCTCTTTTGCTGGCCTACGGAATGAGTAATGGAGAGTGTCTTGATACACGCATATCGTGTCTAGAGCGCTGATTAGACTTTGGACACTTGCAGCCGTACACGTTAACGAGAGGAATGAGCATCTATTTGCTTTGAGATCGCCCTCCAAGCCATCATCTTTACATCCAACACCTCGCAACCTCAGCCCTCGAGATCAACGACAATCTTCCCCCTTACCCTCCCGCCCACCATATACGCCAGGACCTTGTCCCACGCCTCTTCGCACCCGCCCTCATCCAATATGCCCTTGACAACATCCTGGACCTCAACCTTGACCTCTCCCATGTCCACCAAACCTGCAACCTGCTCCAGTAGCTCACTCTTCTGAAACAGCAACACATTCGCATAGCGCGGCCCACGCAACCAGCCCCAGACATACCTGGCCACTTGTCTCGGATAGGTGAAATACGTCAGCGGACCACCCATACTCGTCCTTGCTGTTTTATCGCCCACAATGGTCACATAGGCGGCTTGGGGGTGCAGGAGCTGGGTCCAGTAGTCGAACATGTGCGTGCCGCCTACGCAGTCGATGTAGAGGTCGTATTTCCTGCTGTCGTTGTCGCCGCGGCCGGGACGCTGGGAGAGCAGGGTGGCGGGGACGTCGTGGGTGGTGTAGTCGATTACCGTGTCGGCACCGAGGGAGCGCACGAAAGATGCGTTGGCTGAGGAGCAGATGGCGGTTATGTGGCAGTTGTGGAGACGGCGGGCGAGCTGGAGACAGTAGGTTCCTACGCCGCCGCTTGCGCCGGCGATGATGATGTGGCGGCGATTGTCGGTGGCGGTGTCGGAGTTGCAGTTGGGACTGAGGTGAGCGGGTGGCAGCCAGTCGAGGCAGGCGTAGGCGGTTAGAGCGACGAGGGGGATGGCGGCTGCGGTGGTGTGAGGCAGGGATGAAGGCTTCTTTGCGACAGGGTCTGTGGACGGGGTTATGGCGAGGAAGTGGGTGAATGTTCCCTCTGCCATCTATACGCGTGTCGTGAGTACATGTTCCGAATATAGGGTGTATGAGGCCTTTATGGACGTCGGCTTGAGAGGGCGGGGAAACATGAATGAGAGAGAGAAAAAAAAAAATTGACACAAGTCACTATTTCTCCGCATCCAACACTCTCCCCAGCTTTCTGGATAATCAACCAAGAAACATGCAAAATACAGGAAGAATAGGTAAACTTACGGGTCTGTTACACAGCCCAAACACCTCGTCACCAACCTCCCACCTCCCTTTCCCCCTCAATTCCTCCCCAACTGCAACAATTTCTCCAGAGTAATCCCGCCCTATGCCCTTCTCTTTGCTGCCAGCGAGCCAGCCAATGACGGGGTTGCCCCATAGTTGTATGTCGACGGGGTTGATGGCTGCAGCGTGGATCTTGACGAGGACTTGGTTGGGTGCAGGGATGGGGAGGGGCGTGTGTGTGAGATGGGGTGGGGAGGAAGGGGTTGTGTAGGTTAGGGATGTGTTTGATTCTGGGAGTGTTGGGCGAGGCATTGTTGTGTTGGATGGGTTGATTGAGACTACAGTGGGACTTTGAGTCTGATTTATTTAATTTTTTGGAGGGCTAGGGATTTGTGTTTGGTGCTGGAGATGTCCTTATGTTATTCTCTCATCTTGAAGCTAACAGTGGGGCTGGACGAGACTAGGAATCCGCGATTTCAAAACATGGTGGCTATTTAGATAGGGTTGATTTCTAAGATCAAGATGCTGGCGATGCTGGCAATGCGGCAGGTGGGGATGGGGCCGAGGTACCTGCATGTAGCCGATACGAGTCATGCAGTCCACCTCTACAGGTTTGCTCTTAATCGCAATGGGATCAAGGAGAAATATGGTTTGATTCGAATGGGGATCACGATTTACTAATGTCTCTATTACACCACTCTCAGTCGTGACGGTTGGAGATTCCATGGGCAGTAAGCAGAGTCGAGGAAAAAGCGAATATACAGGAGTTGTATTATCGTTGGTGTAGGCCGGAAGACACGATTATCCTGAATATGCATCGGCGCAAGGAAACTGCATTTCCAACTCAACTCGCGACGTCTCTTCTACTCACGATAGCTGGGCTCTGGGTGAGGAAAGGATCTCGCCGGGACCGGGACGAGTCCGGGTGGGGCGGGAGATGCGCTAGTGGCGCATGTACTGCTCAACACGATTGGCATGATGCAGGTCCGCCTGCCGCAAACCCCAGAAATATCCCTCTCCCGAGCTGCGCATTGCGAGCGCGGCCTTGATGTGGATGTCGCGCTTCTGCTGCTAGTAGATGCTTCACTCCCCCCCTTACCTGACCCTGCAGCATGTAGAGGCGAAGACCAACAAGGCTCGCAATCGACAGCATGGACACCATAGCAGTCGCCCCCAAGGCGTCGGCGCTGGCGTCGCCCAAAATCGTCAAGAATGCAAAAGGCAACATTGTGCCCAGTAGCCAGATGGCGCATATCGCATATGGATGTGGTAAGGGCGCTGCCATGTCGAGGGCACGCCGACGGCGCTGACGGGATACAGAGCACATGGGCGAGATGTTCGACAACGCACGCAAGCAGACGCTGCAGCACTACCGCGCCATTCTCCAGAACATCCACGAGAAGCCGAGCATAATCGCGCAGACGTACAATGCGACGACGGACGCGAAGAACGTGGTGTCGCTTCGGCCACTGTTCCTGTGCCTGCAATGCCCCAGCATCATGACCGAGGCGGACCGGGATTTGCACTTTGAGACCAAGTCGCACTGCTTCTGTGGGTGCAGCAGGGTCCGATGAGACGCCATGGGCTAACAGACGGCAGCGGTCGAGTCGCGCGACGGCAACATATACTGCGGAAACTGCCAGGACTTTATCTACGACGAGGCCCTGGAGATTCTGAGGCTGCAAAAGGGTGCGCATTGATGTACAGCCTGGGACCTCCTCAGTTGGCTGACGGCACAGCAGGCAAGAAGCGAAAGTACGAAGACACGACTACGACCGAAGACCACAAGCTCGTCATCAGCAATTCCACCTTCCTCCCCTGCCGCGCCATAGGCCTGCGCGGGCTCTACAACATGGGCCAGACGTGCTTCATGAGCGTCATCCTGCAGACCCTCGTCCATAACCCCTTCATACGGAACTTTTATCTCTCCGAGGGACACAAGCAGACGGATTGCGAAAGAGAGGCATGTGTGAGCTGTGCGCTGGACGAAATGTTTGTCGAGTTCCACTCCGCCGAGAAGACGGAAGGCTTTGGCGCCGTCAGCATGCTCATGGGGAGCTGGCTGGCAGGCGATGCTCTCGCGGGCTACCAACAGCAGGATGCCCACGAGTACATGCAGTTCATACTCAACACCCTGCATGTCGCCAACGGCGGATCCACCGACGATTCCGACGATTGCAAATGTGTCGTACATCAAACCTTTTGCGGGAAGCTCTCGAGCACAGTGACATGCGACAGCTGCCGGAACGTCACAACCGCCCAGGATCCCTACATGGATCTCAGTCTCGACGTGCGCATCCAGAGCAAGAAGCGCAAGCTGCAAGCCGAGAAAGGGGAAGAGACTCCCTTGGACCTGCGAGATTGCCTCGAGCGCTTCACAGCAAAGGAGAAACTCGGCTCAGCAGAATACACATGTCGGAATTGCGACAGCCCACAGAACGCGACCAAGCAACTAAGCATCAAGAGACTACCCCCTGTTCTCTCCATACACCTCAAGGTCCGTTATACCTCATCCCTTTCTACAACAAAAAAAAACAAACCAAACCAAAAAACGATTCCTTATACTGACTTTCTCTCTCACCAGCGCTTCGAGCACACAAAATCCACCTCGTCCAAAATCGAAACTCCCGTCCGCTTCCCCGTCAAACTAGACATCTACCCCTACACCACATCCTACAAAGCCGCCATGCGCGCCGCAAAGACGTCCGGCGCGCCACCTACAAACCACAACATCAACAGTCCCACCAATGCCCTTGTCTACGAACTCAGCAGTGTTATTGTGCACAAGGGCAAGCTGGAATCGGGTCACTACATCAGTTATAGCCGTGAGGGAAATGATTGGTTCATGTTTGATGATAGTAAAGTTGTGCTTGTTAGCGAAGCTGAGGTGCTTGCTGCTGAGGCCTATTTACTGTTTTATATGCTTGGTGGGTTGGAGGTGTAAGGGAGAGTAGATTAATTGTGTTGTGGGGTCAATCTTCTCCATTCATCTGTTTCTCGGGCCTTTTTTTGATATATTATCTTATTGTACAGGGCATACATACGAGATATGGCATGGTTTGGGCGTTTTTTTCGTGGGGGTAGTGTGGCTAGGAAGGGCGCCTAGGCGTGAGAATATACCGCTCTCTCTCTCTGTGTGTGTGTGTGTGTGTGTTGGAGGATGGATGACGAGAGTCTTTACATCCTTGATGCATCGTCTCCTATCCTTATTTAGTCCTCTGCGTAATTTCTGCTTGTTTTTTTCACCATGTCAGTTACCCACTCTACCCCTGCACCTCTAATAGAACTCTACACATCAACTACCACCTGTTTCCCTTCTCCTCCCTCTTCTATCGCCGCGTCGGCGCTACTCCCTTTTACATTTGAGGAGGAGCAGGGGCGGTTAATGACACCCTTTGCAATCCTTTCGGCCTCTCTCACGGAGCCAACGCCAATCAACCGGCCTTGTTCAAGGCACAGATCGCATCACCTCTCGCTCTCTCTCTCCTTCCCTTTCCCCAAGCACCACCGCACAAAGCACGAGCGGAGATCCTGTTTAGAGGGGAATGAGACGCGTCTGACCAAAGATGACTGTATACTTGGAGCATCTACGATACGTGCCGCTAGTGACGTATGGCGTGGTT